CCTGGGAAAATAGGGTGACCCGGGCGGCCCGGCTGGTACCCTAGATTGGAGGTTAAACATTAAAAAAATAGAGAAAAATAAAGTAATCCATTTGTGAATCATAAGAGGGGCATCAGTCAAAGCAACTTCGCTGCCAGTTCGAAAACAAAAGTCACAAAAGTCACAAAAGTCACAAAGGGTGACAAAGGGTGACAAAACCATAAAGACTCAGGATCCAACACCAGAAGAAGGGACTACCTTCATGATTCGACCAAGTTCCAGAAACTTTATAAAACAATGGTAATTGATTATTTGAATTTGTAAAAACGCTATAAATAGAGAAAATCACAAGAAACAAAAAAAAAAGCATGCTAGTCAGGAAGGGGCAGCTATGTGAATCTGCACATCTAGCTTCCCAACAGCTGAGGTTACAGGATGGCACTACCCATCCCCAGCATGCATGAGCCCGACGTCCTCCGCCGTGCAAGCACGGATTCGAATCGCCGACTTCGGATTCGGAGGACATGCCGGCGGATCAACTGATTGATAGCGGCCCCGATCAAGTCTAGGATCAGGATCCTAAAAGAGGGAAAAAAAAAAAAAAAAAAAAGAAGCTCACGATCATCTCTGATTGGCAGCGGATAGGGATCCTTGTATTTTTTTCCATGCTTGCCGGTGATTAGTAACCGGACTGGTTCCCCCAAGAATATCAAGGGGTTGGATGAAATGTGAAAAATAATAATAATAAAAAAAAAAATGAAATTCAGTTCGAATCTAGGCTACCAGAGTGGCCCGGGGTCACTTGCCCGGCCGGGCCAAAAAAATAAAAATAAAAAAATAAAAAGAAATTAAAATTTATTATTTTTTTCTAAATTTGGTGCAGAATTTCGATGTGACCCTGAGGCAAAATTTGTTCAGTTTATTTTTCTGCATAACATAGTGTTTTTTCGGATTTTTCTAATGTCCTTTTTTTGTTTTTTCCGCTAGGACCTTCCCTGGTCCTTGCACGGCCGGGCCGTCCAGGAAAACAGGGTGACCCGGGCGGCCCGGCTGGTAGCCTAGCAAGCTACTTATTTTTCCGGAATACTCTTGTCTCCCTCTTCTGGTTTTATTTGCTTCTTTCGTCTTTTTTTTTTTTTTTTTTGGGGGGGGGGGGGG